ATACAATGAACATTATGTTCAAAAAAACTAAATTAGGAAGGAATACACAAAAATAAGAAGCAATAGAAAGAAAGGCAACAATAAAATGGAAATTTTTATTTCAAAACCTTAAGAGGAACATTTTTCTCCTTCAGCAGGAGTCCCTCAAGTAACGGAATTAACATACTGACGTTTAAAAAATAATATTCAATTTCAACACCAAGCTTAAACTAGATCTACTTAGCTGGTGGTAAATATACCAAAGCAACCTAACACGATGTAGACCATCTTTAATATACAAATACAAAGTTGCTGATCCATTAACAACAGCAAATGTTGCTTGAGTTTGTTTTGTTTTCTGATAGCCATCCACATCCTTCCTGGTCCTATTTAGGATCAAGAAGATAGATTTTTTGCCGAAACAATGAGAAATGCCATTTCAATTGTGTACCAGATTGAAACAGAAAACGTACAGCTTATATATTAAAATGTATCCCCTGTTAAATCATTCCTACTTCAATCCCACTGTGAGCAAGGTCTGTTTTATTCCAAGGTGCTTCTTTACATACTGTTTGCATTTAGAATTGAGAGATAAGAAGGGAGATTAGCAGAGTACAATCCCTGAACAACATCCCCTAGTGGCTTTCTCTGTTCCCTAGAGTTGCACTGTTTTCAAAAATACAAGGTCCTCAGAAAGGTTAAATTTTACATCACAGTAATTCTCTCGAGGCCCAATGCTGACCCTGATGATCTCCAGTTTCCTTCCAGCTCTATGACTCTTGTGACTCTGCTCCTTTCATCTTTCCTTTCTATCTTTGCTGAAACATTGAGAATCGGTCATTTACAAAGAAGAGTTATTTAGCTTTCAGATGTATAGGCTTCATCAGCAGCTAAAAGGAATGAAGCTCCAGAAAGCTGGTTTTAAAGCACACCCTTTCCAGTGGCTCCATCTGGATTACCTCGCGCACCCAGATGTCCATGGCAGTTATCAATTCCCAAAAGACTTGGAACAAGAAAGGTTCAGGATGTCATCACTGTTCCTTTCAGAGTAGATTACACATTCGTGAGATATGTGAGGGAATGTGAATGTGAAGTGCGTATCATGCCAAGGAATTATGCCTGATTTTATTAGGTATGATATGACATTTGGTTATATAAGAAAATGTCTATAATTTTTTAAGAGCTGCATACCCCCAAGTAAGCAGGAGAGAAGTGACATGATGTCTGAGATCTGCAGAGCTGTTTGAAATATTTCAATAAGAACGACAAAGAAAGTAGATGGGACAAGTCCTACAAAATCTTAAGTTTGTATATATGTAGGAGCATTATTCTGCTCTTGTAAATGTTTGAAATGTTTCCTCACAAAGGACATTTTAGCTTGTCATTCCCCATCTAAAGATTATATTGTTTCCAGAGGATGTGTCACTATTTTTAAACTACTTGTATATATAGTAATTCTGCCTTTCACCAGTTTGGCTTTTGGAAAGGATTTCTTCCTGGCTTGGGTATTTAAAAGAGACTTTCCAAGAGTTCTTCCACGGGGAAGGGAAAGACTGGATCTAGTCTTATATATCAACACATACACTTAACAAATAAGATACCAGCTTCAATTAAAAATAAATCAACAGAAAAAATAACTCAGGCAACAAGGAAGCCAATCTACAATATTTAACCTCAATTATCTGCCCCCCCAAGATTTGTTAATGGCAACTCCTGCTTCCAACTCTGACATCATCACCACTGTGGCTTCTATTTACTTTTGAACAAAGATACACGAGAAAGGCTGTATTTATATCCGGGAAGTTATAAAATAGAAAAACTTAAAACTCCAGCCTCCCTTGTGCACTACTGCCTCCTCTCCATCAGCAGAACAGAGGCCTGAAGGCCAAGGGCAGGTCAAGTTTTCAGGTCTTCATAGACGGGATGAGTTTCAGAGCAAACTTGAGGAGAAGTAGTTTTGGAAAGGCCAGGGCACTCAAAACTAGCAGTGTACTATCACGTGATATCAGATGCGAGGGATCAAAAAGACTCCATCTTTTGGTCACACCTTTTGTTCCCACACTATTTAGTGATCATTTGATGTTGTAAAAAGGAAAGTAAGTGTTATAAATTCCTATTTGTATGAAACTGAATTTAAGTTTAAAACATTTGGGAATTTACGGCCCTCTGCTTGAAGAAAATGAAACGAGTAGCAAGTAAACACAATGACCTCAGGAATTATTCAGAAGAGTCAGTCACTTTCCACATACATTGTAGCTTTCATAAAGATTTCACGTGATTTCCCAATCCTTCTATCACATAACATGGCATAATAATGATCATGAATACTCATAAACGAACAGCTTCAGGTATCACAAGAATCTAAGTTAGGAATTATACTTAGAAAATTTTGACTGCTAAGAATTGTGTCCTAATTCTTTGAAAAATCATGATCCATGGCATAGAGGATAACTCTTAGTTAAAGTAATCAATGAATCAACATACAGATTACTTCTTAATCTCCTAACGTTTCTCATATGTGAAAGATAAAAACCATAGTTTATTCTTTGATCAAATACTTCAAATATACAGAAAATAGAATAAGATAGCAAGTCTATGAACTTGCTATCCAGACTTAATAAATATCAACATTTGATATATTTAAGGTTTTCAAAGAACTAATAAGCATTATAAACGTAAACCACAGGTTTTCACTAGTTCTTTGATTCAATCTTCTCAGAAATCTGTCTTTTTGTTCTATTTTATTCAAAACACTTGCAACTTTCCCACACCCCAGTTCTCACAGACCTACCTTTATTATTTCACAGAAAAATTTCTTGAAGAATCTATACCTCTAATTTCTACTTCCTCTCCCTCTTATTTATTCTCTAACCTATTAAAACCTAGCTTCTGTTCACTGGACTCCTATTCAATTCCAAGCCCTATAAACCCAAGGTTATTTTTTAGATTTCCTATTATGTGGCCTCTTTAGTAACTTCCAACTGCTCACAGAGCTGGGTGTTACCCAGGCTGCAGGTCCTCAGAAGTGCAAATTATCATCTTTGGACAATAAGGATCTATTGTTTTGACTATGCAGGCCTACAAGGCTGGGGGAGGAGGCCCGTAGGAGTCCAGTGAGTAGTACCACAAGGGAGGGAAGTGGAGGCAGACGGAAGACGTGCTTTCAACCTCAACTTCGGCAAAGAAGAGCAGAACTATAGACTAGGAGTCATAGTTATAAAACTCTGGAAGACGTCAAATTCATGAAACAATACGTGCATTCTATTGTAGTCACACAAAGGGACTAACGGATATACACCAAAATGCTAACAACAATTAAATTTCCAGATGTCAAGATCATGGAGAGTTCTTATGTTAATGTTCTATAATAAACATGCTTTTTTTTTAAATATGAAAAAGGCTAATTTTTTTAAATAGCAAAAGGTTTGCATGCCTGTCTTCCAGGCTGACAAAGGAGGGTGTCGCCAGGGAGCTGTAGCTGCACAGAACACTTGGGAGGAGAAAACCCTAGGGTGACAGTGGGTGTTAGGAGCTTGAAAGAGGAAACACAAGCAGGCTGGCCGCACGGGGCCCAGTCTTGAGAGAGAAGACCCGTCACAGGAACCAGTCTGGCCTGAGACTACCCAAGAAGTGCCTGGCATTCCCCCTGGGCTGCCAGTTAGCCATTGGGTCCCTTCTTGTCTTCCTTCAAGCTCCTGTGAAAATTTCGCTACTACCCTGTACCCTACACTACCAGGACTCCACCCAAATGGTGTCTCCACCACAGGCTCGCCGACTTCCAATCCCACCTCCACAGAGTTACTAGTGTGGTAAAGACAGCGAACACTGGGGAACAGCTCAAGACTGTCCAGGATACAGGACACCCCAAAGTCTCAGATGTACACGACCCTCTGCTTACCTTCACCAGCTCCACCGGCCAGCCCAGACACTAGGGTCCAGGGAGGCTCAACTCCTGCGGTTCCCTGAGCACCCCAGGCTCTGGCTTGGTACCTCGGCACACACTCTTCCCTGGCCTAGGATACACTTCCCTACCCTATCCAGCTGGTAAACTCCCACCCACCCATCAGGTCCTGCTCAAATGGAAAACCTTCTGTCAAGCACTCCGAGGTAACTGGCTGCTCCCTCCTCTCTATGCCGTAGCCATTTTGTACACAACATTTTATATAGCACTTCTTAGACTACTGGAATTAATCCAATACCTGTCTACCCTACTAAACCACGAGATGTTTAAGGCCAGGAATACATATCCCCATGTACCTAGAATAGTGCCTAGATGCAGTAGGTACTCAAAAATATTTGATGAACCAAATAAATCAATGTGTTTTTACTACATATTTTCATAGATATCCCAGAAATAAATTTTAGGAGCTGAAAAACAGGCACTAACTCATACTGCTGCTCCCTGAGTGAAACGGATTCAGGGGCTGGCCTGGTGGCATATCGGTTAAGTTTGCATGCTCTGCTTCAGTGGCCTGGGGTTCATGAGTTCAGATCCTGGGTACACACCACTCATCAAGCCATGCTGTGGTGGCATCCCACATACAAAATAGAGGAAGACTGGCACAGATGTTAGCTCAGGGACAATCTTCCTCACCAAAAAAAAGAAAAAAAAATCAATTCAAAGTTTAAGACTTAACCAAAAAGAAAAGTAAAGATATCAAACCAAATATATACTGGGCAAATGGTAAGATTTCTGCCACATTTATGGCTAAGAATATAAAACTGTATCAATTTGGAATTACCAACCTTCTCATAATAATTTGAGGATTGCATATTGTGGAGGGTTTCTGTTTTTCTGAGAATAGTGGTGGGGGGAGGAGCGCTGCACAGTGTCTGTTAACGATGCAAAAGTAATTCAAACACGTATCTTCTCTTTGAAATCAAATCAGTAAGAACGGCTGACCACCAGGTAACAGGGGAAAATTAAGATCAACTGCAAGAAAACAGAATCTGCACGCAATTCTCATTTCTATATATTGTAACTTCCATCAGGACCTGCCTACTGCCTACACTGAATTTACCTGAGCTAAAGTAGGGACTGAATTTTGACCAGTCTGGGTCTGCATATGAGCAGATTTGCTCTCTGCCACAGAATTTGTTACACCTCCATCCTGCTGAGATTCAACTGTTTCCATGGTCATTTGTCTGAAAAGACAATAAAAAGGAAGAAGTATTAAGGCCCTATCTGAAATATTTCTGTTTTCACCTAGCTTTCTGATAAGCATTTCTGTCATCCAATTGTACTCTCTGATTTTTTCAAGCAATGGGTTCAGTGGCACAGTCTTAACTCTCCTGGCTAAGGCACCTTCTCTGCTCACTGGATATGAACATGACCAAGGGAGTACTGCCAAAGGCTTTATGAGAATTTGTTTAATCACAAATTTTTTAAATCTTATAATAAAGTCTTCTTGATAATTATTTCAAGCCCTCTAGTAAAAATGAGTGATAAAATGGGGTTTTCTATCTGACACGAAGCATAAATATTCTGTGACTCTCAAGGCCTAATCTCCCTGCTTTACAATATGATGAAGTATGAAGGCATTTCCCCATGTCTAAATGAATGCATTAGAAAGACGTGTCTAGCTTTGTCAGTGCTAAGTTGTTTCTGATAAACAAGCCTGAGATCGGATCACTCAGATTGACCACTTGTCCTGCAGCTTCCCAGTTACTTAAAGAGGAGAATCTCATTTTTCCAGGAAAAATTTCTGACATAATTTTTTTGCCTCTGATTTCAATTTAAGTTAATGATTTCTATATGGAGTCTTTCTAGATAGAAGGTAAGCCGTATTATAATAAATTTTACCCTACTAGGAGAAAATATAAAATGTAAACAAAATGAATTAAACAAAACCAAATTTCAAAAACTTATAAGAACTACTCCATGCTACTGTCTATCTTTTCAACTGGCAATAACAAAATGTGCTCTTCTCACCTTATCAGTCTAAATACCTATCCAAAAAGCATGCAGCCCATTTAGAACTTGGAATTAAAACGTCAAGATCTTTTTTCCAGATGTAATTAATTACCAGATCCTACAGATCTTTCATCTACTGTCTTTCACTTAATACCTTCATTTGCATTTCAATAGCCATTACCTGAATCCTCCATTCTCAAACCTGTCTGCTATAGTCTATGCTATACCTAGAGTTACTCCTCACTATTCAAAGTCATTTTAATAATTGTGACTGACCATGACAATTTAGAGCAACTGTAAAAAATAAAAATCCATGGTCTACTGTGAAAAAATGTCTTTCTCTCAATATTCCCCAATTCCTTTATCTCTTTCATTTTCCTGAATGGCCCCTCTAATACTAGCAAAGTATGGTCATCACACTGCATAAACTGTCAGTTCCCGTGGCTTTACTTTTGCTTACGTGAGCAGTTCCCAAAGAGAATACCTTAGAACATTAGTTCTGCAGGATATGAAAAGGTATTAGCTAGGACAAGAGGGTAGGGGGAGCACTTAGTAAAAGAGTTCTAAACATCCGGGATTAAAAGGGTTTCTTTGCTGCAGAACTCCTCAGAAGCATGAATCCACTAGTGTGCCTTGAGAAGGGGAGAGGCTACATATCCAACAGGCAGGGTTTTCCAAAAGTATCTGACCACCAAAAGCCCTTTTTCCACAAAGCATGTCCTAGCAGCTGTGTTTTCTAAACAACCTGAGAAATGTTGTCTTATGCTATTTCTTACACCTTTATTAAAAGTTCTTTTAAGGCTCTGCCAAGAACTTGAGTCTCAACGCAACATTACATGCTGAAAGGCCTTCCCAGTAAACTCTATTCATTTCGGAAACAATCACTTAGCACCATCTACATGACAGGCCATGAAAATACGAAAGCGGGTAAGTCACAACCCTTGTTCTGAAGGCATTCACTCACTAGTTGGTCCTCGGTTTCTCAAAGAAGGACAATGTGTATCAGAATTACCTAACATACTTGTGTTTTTAAAAAAAGCAGATTATGAGGCTCAACCTCAAATCTACTGAATCAAGCTTTTGGGGGACCTACTTTTTTATATGCAAAAGATTCCAATATATATTAAAATTTGAGAAAAACTTAGCTTACTGGTAAATTCTATCAGGTAGACCAATAATGAACACAAGTAAAGCAAGTTCTTAAATTGTGTGAAGGATGTTATGTATGAAATGCTTTGGGAAATATAGGAAGGAATGATGAAGTGTGCCTGAGAATGGGACCGAATGAGCCATACAGAGAGGGATGGAAAGGATTTCACCAGGTAGAAAACGAAAGGAGGATTGTGAGAAGAAAAGCACAGAGTATGTTTGAAAAACAGAACGGCTGGGTGTAGTCAAGAATCTGGGTGAGGAGGTGACAGAGGAGGACAGGAGGAAGTGCAGCAGGAAAAGCTGGATGGAACCACATTAGGAAGAGCCTTTAATACTCTAGAGAGAAAACAATGTCCGCCTCATTCAGACGCCTCCTCTGCTGAGGTCCTTCAGTATCTATGGAGTCAATCTATACCGTATAAGTTTCAACCATTTGATACCTACAGAGAAGTCAGTCAAGAATCAGACAACGAGCAAAAGGTATCTGTTAATAGGCAAAACAAATGGCCCAAAGTCCATACACTAAAACTTCTAAAACAAAGAGAACCTCTCCTGGTGCATACTTTAAACTCATTTGGTTTTATTCTAAATACAACTCTACTTTACCCGGTTTCTAAACATACTGGATTAAGAAGTGACAGCTGACAAGGGGGAGGGAGAACTATAGAGAATATGATAAAGAGATTAAAATTCCGAGTGTGTGGCAATTTGGGTCCATACAGGGTAAAGTCATCTAGTTCTTTATACTCAACAAATTTAAGGATTTATGAGCTAAAATTCAGTAACTGATATTTACAATAACTATCCTAAGTCACCAAGAAAAGGTTAATGACACTTACTATACTTTAAGGAAAGAAGGATCCACAGAAAAAAATCCAGGAAGACTTCCTCCCATCAAAAAAAAGCTCTAATGCCTAAAAAGGTCAACCTGAACTGAATAGGACTCATTTTTTGAGATATAATAAAAGACTTTGTAAGTTACTAAACATTTCAAAAGTTTAACACATGAAAGTATTTTTATATACATTATCTCATGTAATCACCTTACTTGCTCCTTTTCTCTTGGGTATTCCTCAGAGTTCAGTCCTTTGCCCTTGTCCCTTCTTCAGTCTACATACTATGGCTTCTTCAACCCTATATGCAGATGGCTCCCAAATCTGTATTTGTCCACATCCCCTTCCTATTGAGCATCTCACCTTAAGAGTTTTCATGGACACCTGTCTGTTCCCTTATATTCCTTGTTTTAGTCAACAGCATCACTATCCATTCAAGCCCCAAAGCTAGAATCATGTCTCTATATGTGAGTCAGTACCAGATCACATACAGAAAAACTCCACATAGCTAAAACATCAGCCAAATCAGGCCCTGAGCCTCCTGCTGAAGCAAGGCAGAAACGGAAAGTCAGCGGCCACCCCAACTCATCCTCCTTGCCACACTTGGCATCATCCACTATAACCAACACTGACTCAAGCAGCTGAGTAGCTGCTCCTCACAACTGCTGCCACCCACTCTAAAGACCACCTATCACAGACAGTGGGCCTCCCCCTAAGCCATGACTCAACTGCAAGGTCCCTTCACCCAAACCAGAATCACATCCATCAACACCTCACATTCCTACTTCCCCAGTCACTATCAAAGACACAAGCTTTCCCATAGTTCATCTTCACTCTCATAACTAGTGCTTCCTTCCCCCCCATAATACAATTGCTGGTTCCCTCTATTACTCTCAGAACACCTGTTATTCCACCACACTGAGATCTCCAAACCACTTTCTCCCCTTCCATCAGCACCTCCATTTTCTTCATATCCCATCTTATTTGGCTTAGAATCCATGGTTTCTCATTTGAACCATTACATCCCAATACCCTAAATTCTCTTTTCCTTTTGTTGTATCAGCTTAGTAAAGACCAATCTCAGATAGAACCAATTCTGTCACCTCTATGCCTGTACCATGACTGATGAACAATACTGAACAAAACTATAAAAGAAAAAAAAAACCAAATGGAGGGTGTTTGGAAACCTTCCAGGTTGGTGAACATGAAGAGATTCAGAGAGAGTGATACGCTCAGAGAGCATGGAATCTCCCCACCCTTTCCCACACACATTGTTCTATGCATCTCTTCTATCTGGTTGTCCCTGAATTATATCCTTTTATAATAAGCTGGTAAAATAGTAAAAAAAAAAAAAAAAAAACTATAAAAGAGAATATTATTAAAGCTATCAAATTTAGGGTTATCAGCCTCAAAGGGGCAGCAATCTTATTGTTTCCCTAGCGGCCTTACTCTCCCATTCTCTACAATTGTTTCAAATTTTCTCCCTCTCCTCAAATCCCTGAGCTCACCTACTACCTACACTCAATGTAAAACCTTGCCTTCTGTTTCAGATGAGAACTCCCTCAACTTCCTGCCACTAAACCTACACAACCATCACTTTTCCTTGTTTCCTGCCCCCATACTCTTAAAGCCCTCCACATGGGGCTGGCCCCGTGGCCGAGAGGTTAAGTTCACGCGCTCTGCTTTGGCGGCCCTAGGCTTGGCCAGTTCAGATCCTGGGCGCCGACCTACCACTGCTCATCAAGCCATGCAGAGGCGGCATCCCACACAGAAGAATTAGGGACCTATAACTAGAATATACAACTATGTACCGGGGAGCTTTGGGGAGAAGAAGGAAAAAAAAAAGATGTGAAACCTCTAAAAAAAAAAATTCCTCTACCTCCTCTGGATTGGTCTTCAGGGATATTATACTACAGCTTAGCCCCTCCCCTCTCTACTGGTTTCTCCTATCAAGATGTAAACGTGTTCAAGTTTCTCCAATCTCAAACACACACGCACACACACACACACACACAAATTCACTGAACCAGAAGTCTTTCTCTAACTATTCTCTTGAACCTCTCTTCTCCCTCACACTGCTAAACTACTTTAAAGAACTGCCAACACTAGCGCCATTTCTTCACCTCCACCTACTCCTGGACAACCCCAAACTGGCTTCTGCCTCACTAAAACTTCTCTAAAAAAGGTAATCAATCTCTGTCACTAAATCTAATGTTCATTTTAAGTCCTATCTTGTTTGATCCCTCAGGAGCATTCAAAACTGTTGACATTTCCCTTCTTGAAATCAATCTTGATGCCATGATACTGCATTTTTCACTCTCATTCAATTCTCTGAGAATTCCTCCGCAAGCTCCTTTGCCAATTCCTTCTCTTACTCAATGTTAACCTCCAACATGGCATGTCTTCAGGGCTGTTTAGCCTTCTCACCTCACTCTGAAATCTCTCCGGCGTAGTATCATCCATTTCTCTAGATTCAAAAACCAGCTATAAGCTTATGACTCTCAAATCTGGATTTCCAGCCCAGAGGCCTCTCTTGAATTCCAAAATCATATATCCAAATGCCTATTTAACATCACCAAACACACACCCTACAGTTACCTCAAACTCATTGCGTCCAAAACTAAACTCGCCTTCTTGCACAAACATGTTTCTTACCTCAGGAAATGGGGTCCCACCATCCATCCAGTTGCTAAAGCTGGAAAGCTGGTGTCATCCCTGAAACCCTCTCCCTTTCATTCCCTACAGCATTATGACCAGGTGTGATGATTCTACCTTCTAAAGAACAATTTAGTTCCCTTCTCTACATTCCCACCACCACCGCTCTATCTCCCTACTCTAATCCATGCCAACGGTTATCTTTCTAAAACATGTATTTCTGCTTAAACCACTTCTCTGCTGAAAACTCTTCAGTAGCTCCCTACCGACTGCAGGATAAAATCCCAACTCCTCATAATACTAACTACAACTATCGTTTGTTAAGTGCTTACCATATGGTAAATGCTTAAACTAGTTTTAATCCTTAACAACCTAAAAAGTCAATACAGTTGCTTCTTCTTTGAGATAAAGAAAAGGAGAAGCGAATCTCGTGGACGAGTGGTTAAGTTCGTGCACTCTACTTCAGAGGCCCAGGGTTTCACCAGTTTGGATCTCGGGTGTGGACAAGGCACAGCTGATCAAGCCATGCTGAGGCAGCGTCCCACATAGCACAACAAGAAGGACCTACAACTAGAATATACAACTATGTACTGGGGGGCTCTGGGGAGAAGAAAAAGAAGAAGAAAAAAGAAGATTGGCAACAGATGTTAGCTCAGGTACCAATCTTTAAAAAAAAAAAGAAAAGGAGACACGAGGAGCTTAAGAATCTGATTTTACCACAAAGGTATTGAGTGGCACAGCCAGGTTTTGAACTAAGGTCTTTTTCTAAAGTCCGTATTCTCAATTACTAAACCAAAGTGCCATTCAATCTCTTTCACAAGGTGACCCCATTTTACTTTTTATAGCCTCATCTCCAGTCACTCCACTCCTTACCACACTCTGCATTCAAGCCTCCTTATAAGCCTCTTTTTTTCAAATATACCTCTTATTCCTCTAGTTCTAATTTTCTATATCTGCTCTTCCTCTTCCTGGAATGCTCTTCACCCTTTCTTTGTCCAGTAGGCAAATTCCTACTAGTTCTTCAAGGCCTGGCTCAAAGACACCATCTTTCAAAAGGCTACTCTAATAACCTTGGGCGGAATGAGTCATTCTCTTCCAACTTCCCAAAGCATCTTATGCAGTACCTGCACTATAATATTTGTCTAGCATATAATACATTTGTTCACAAAGTTCTAACACTAGTGTGAGCAACTCAGGGACAGGGATTACATCTTAGATTTCAATGTATTCCCACTGTCTAGTACAGAATCTATCATAATCGTTTAACTAATCAACTATTCTGGAAGACTATGCAACTGTCAGATGTTACTAAGTCGATAAAAATAAGGTTCAGAGAGATTAAGTGAGTTTCTATGGGGTACATACTAGACAGCATGATAGAGGGTGAAGAAGAGGTCTGGTGACTGACTCCAGGGTTCCTTCCACAGCCAGGACCCTGAGTATTCCACGTTAGACAACATTTTACAATAATCATGTGCTTCTGAGTACACTGGAACTATTGTCACAATTTTCATTCAGATATGCTCTGTCTTTCACATTAGGATGTACGGACCGTAATTTTATCCCATTTGTATTCTTCTAGAGTGCCTAGTATAATGCCCAGTACGTGTCATTCAGTAAAAGTTTGATACTAAAATCAATTTTCAGGTAAAAATCATCTACAGAAGAGTTAGGTCAGCACTGTTAATTTAAAATAAACCCTATCATTTTCAAACAAGTTTATTCTGACCCATATCTAACCGCTGTCTAGTACAACTTCCTAAACCCACTAAAAACCAACCCCAGGGCAGGACTCAGGGCAGAAGATTCAACTAACATTTAAGTGCTCTAGATAAGGTCAAGCACTGCACCGGGCATTTACAAACACTATCTCAGCAGGAGATGGAGGACCCAAGCTCAGCTATAGATGACGGACACATGACAGTAACATCTGTAAATCAGCCTCAGCTAGTCCACACAGAATTGATTTATAAACTGTAAGAGAAAGATCTATTACATATATACATACATTATTAATTTATCCATCATTTTAACTCTGAGCTCTCTAAGTACAACTTTCAAAAAAACAGAAAAACACATATCCACCTACCTTAAATTTGTCTTAAAATACTTTTTCCTGCCACATTTGCTCATTATTAAGACATTTGCAAGCAACGCTTTTTGCTCCTTCCTCGTTTTCTTCTTTATTTATCCTGCAGTAAAATTATAGCCTTGAAGTGGGAGATAAAATTTAAAAACATTAAAATCTCTCAAAACTACTCCAGAAGAATACTCTAATTTCTATAAAACTGAAAAAACAGAATAGAAAGCTGAAATCATTCCATATTTTTATAATCTTACGTCTATTCAATTTTCTTATCTTCTGAGGAAAAAAATTCAAAAAACTTAAATCGTGGTATTTCTCAGATTATTTTCTACTGAAGAGAAAGGAGTTCTGTCTAAATCATTTAATATACACTATGTATATCTTGTATCGGCTCCATTTTAAAATGATAATAATCACTTAATAAACTGAATGAATTTAACACTTTCATAAATTTCACTCCATTGCAACAAATTTGTCAACTGTTTTTTCATTTACCTTAAATTCAAACTGGGTTTTGTCAAAGAATTTTAACCCCAAACAAAATATCAACAGTTCATTTAAAATCTCCTTCCAATAGCCTTCAATCCACTAAAAAAGCTGTTTTAGATACTCCAGCAGTTAAACTCCATTTTTTTTTTTTACTAATATCTTTAAAAAATGCATTTGACATGCTGAATGAAGTAAAATTGGCAAAGAAAAAGACCAAAGCATATCTTGGAGCCCTTACTTATTTTAGAGTTGGAAAGGCCCATGCACCTCCCTCAGTACCTGCCAGGCATCTATGCCAGCAACGCTGGAGCTTAGCCACAAACATGCTGCTTTCAGGGTTCCCTCCTAAGTGGTCCCCTCTAAAACGCTGTCACACCATCCCAGTCAATTTTGAAACTGACTCAGCAGGCAGGTTTGCCACACGCCACTAAGGGCACTAAGACAATGGTTATTGCTGCTACCACCTCCTCCCACCGCCCAGCATAGGGACAGCAGGAGACGCGAGGGCACTTGAACCAGGCTATTGACAACATGAACAAAAAGCAAGGATGCCGCCCTTCCTTCAGACTAAACCTTCTTCTGTGTTAAATTATGCTGGCATTTTACACGGCGACATCTTATCTTCCCTAAAAATCATGTAACCAAGAGGGCAGGGACCATTTATTTATTCAATAGTGAATGGCGCCCATAATATGCAAGGCCCTTGTGTTAGGCACCAGAGACACAGATAAAATGTCGGTGCTCTCCAAGAGCTTGCAATCTAATGAGGTAGATGGATGTTTAAACAAAAAATAATGACAATATTGTTTAAATAATAATGATGGTTATGGCACCAAATAAGAAAAGAGAAGTAACTGCTAATTTCTCATGGAAATATTTTCTTTAGTTTAATTTTTGAATAAGTAATACCTTCCTATGATTCAGGATTCAAAAAGTAGAAAAAGGTATTCAGTGAAGTCCAGAACAGCCACCTATTTCCTCGTCCCAAAGGCAACCAGCGTTGAAGAGAGTACCAGCTTTCTCCACCACAGCCGCAGGAGGTTAGAAGAGAAAGCCTCATACCAGAAGAATCCCATCAGACAAACCCGACCCGGACCCGGCCTATCAGAGAACGAGTTCTTTCCAACTACTAAGTCACCACCAACTGCCTGCTTGCCAAATCTGAAAGGATGCTTTTTAGTCCCTATCTTCCTTAATACTCCTACAGCATTTCCTACTCTCCAAATTTTGTCCTCCTTGAACTCTTTGTAACACGTTTATGCTTTTCTTCCAAATTATCCAGCCCTTTGTTTTTGGTCTACTCTTTAAAGGCTGGTATTCCCAGGTTTCCAGTCACAGCAATCTCCTCTACACATTCTCCCTAGGTGACTCTATCCTCACTTGACAAGTCTCAAATCCCATGTCCAGCCTACAACTCTCTCTCCTGAGCTCTAGCCCATATCTATCTGCCTATTAGTTGAATCTTAATGGTTAGCTCACAGATCCTCAAGCTCAAATTTTCAAAACTAACCTCAGCTCCCTTGCTCTGCATCTCTCCCCTCGCTGTGCTCTTGTCTCAGTGACTGGCATCACTATTCACTCAGCCCCTGTCTGGGAGTCCTCTTCTCCCTCCATTCTTCAACTTCCTTTGTCCCTCATTCCTGAGTAGCAGGATGGTAGCGTGTAGTATAAAAGCACTGGCTGGCCCTGGAGGTTGACCTGGGTGTTGAGTTCTATCACTTATTAGCTATGTGATCCCAGACAATTATTTAATTTCTCCAAGCATCCTTTCTCATCTGTCAAATGACACCAATCTTGTGAGGAGGAAAGGTATTAATAAATGCAAAATGTCTAATTGGCTTGGAATATAAGCAAGGACCACCAGCTTACTCAGCCTCAATAATTTTCTCTCCTAAAATTCTCTCCTCCATTCTCTCTGCTTCATTCTCTCTGTCCTCATTGCCACTGCTTTAGTTCTGAAACTGATCATTTCTTGACATGATTAAAGTGATAATAGACTCCCTATAAGTACTTCACCTCACTCAAGCCTCATCTCAGTCCCTCATAACCCACTCCATTAGACCACAACGCTCTATTCAGAATGCAAATCCAAACATGCTATTTCTTCATTCAAGATCCTCCAACGCTTCCCTGCTGCCTAAGAATGAATACCCAAAGTTCTCAGCGTTTTAATTTCAGGTACTTTGTAGAGGCTTGATAAAGTTTGCGTAAAAGCATTCAGATTTCAGGTTTGCCATTCTTTTCTATTACATCAATTTTCCAGGCTCAAAATTGCCTTATGTGGATTTGCAGATCCCATTTTACCACACTATAAACTATGCATACTTTGAAAAACTCAACTGCTTTTTATTCTGTTGATCTCATCCCAAACCTAGTTTTAATGCCCTAGAACATACTCTTAATGGGCAGACTAGGGCTGAATTTAGCATCCACCACCTGCACATACACAAACACTGGAATGGCTAAGAGCTCAAATGTCCTAATGTGTTCTCAGGATGGGCTTAAGACAATGTACAAATATTCTATTTAGCCTACAACATACCCCTAAATTCATCATCATTTCATGATACAGTGTGACATCATAATGTTTAACCCGATCTCCTTATACCTAAAATCACAAAGGATACTGATGTCATGTCCTGTATACTACCAATTTTCTACAAAAATAATGTTAAAATCCTATCTAACAAGGAAGATTTATCTTTTAGAATAGAAAGATATATTTTAGACTGGTTTATTATAGGTAAATAGCTTATACTAAGACAGAAAAATGAGTTAAAAAATTCTTTTGCCTAGATGTGGATTTCTGTGCTGAATCGGGAGGAAAGCCATTTCTCATGGTGATAAAGCTTTCTGTCATATATTAGGTTTGATGACAAAAGTAACATTCGGCATTCACCCTACTCTTCACCAGTGTGCTACTCTATTCACCCTTTGGCATAACAGTTTCCATTAATTTCATTGCTATCAAGTATCCCATAATAAACAGCTCTCTACACCAATTAAAGATAGCATTATATTTACACTTAAGAGTTTTGAACATATACTCTGCTGTGGTTAATTACATTAATATCTTGATTTTTCTGAAATAATTACATTTATTTAAGAATCAAAATTCTTGGGCAACTTGCCTGGAATATAAAAGTTTACCTAACCAATCTGCACCTCACCAACCAACTCTCTGATTAACCAATGTTCTCCATTCCCTCCACAGATTAACTACAGTTTAGCAAATACCCACTGCAGGTGTTCTCCAGTGTGCCCAAGGGCTTACGTTCCTAACGGCTGGGGGGATGCTCACCAAGAGTCAGTTGTATTTATCATCAAACCTGATTATGCCAGCCATACTTATTATTGCAATTTTGGAATTCTGTTAAATAGCATGTTAGACAAAATTATTAAATAGATACAATGATTTAAAAAGAAGAGCTTCTATGAAAACTAAGTTGAATGATTTGGAAAGACAAAATAGGCAGGCTGCTTTTAAAAAAATCTTGCTTTTGGACTAGACATTACAGTGGAAAAGAACTATAAATACTGGGGAAATATTATAAAAATGAAGAGTTCTTTATAAAGACACTTGCAAAACAATGTAAGCTCTTGCTCTACTTTCAAAAACACGAAAATAGAAAAAGCAAATTATGCACTGAGATAGTTTTTGCAAGAAAGGCAAAGCAAAAAACCCCTGCACAATTAGTATAGTCAAAATAAAAGGAATGTGGAATAAAAGGCAGTACATGTCCTATGGAAGCAGGAAGAGAAAGAGAACACAGAAAAGGGCAATCTGTTTCTTTGGTTCTGGGATGAAGCAAGGTTTTAGGTCTTCAGGAAAGCAGGACATCTTCGTAGGTTAACTGTGATTTAAGGAGCAATAGCAAGTAAGGTTTGAAAGACAAGAGGAATATGAAGCTTATATTGTAAAGCTGGTCCTTCTCAATCAAGTCAATTAAAAAGTCGGGAGAAGGCAGGGATAGCTAGAAGTGAGACGTAATTCCAAAGAGCTATATCCCCAAAGTTGACAGGGATGAGCCTATGGTTATTACGAATTTCAGGTGAAGGAGATGAGGAAAAACAAAGTGAGACAGCAGTAATGGGAAACTAGATCACTTTTAAAGTTTTGTAATCTTTGTGAAGGAAAGTTACAATAACTTTCAAATAACAAACTTTACACTTTTGTGTAAAAACATAAGTAGCCAGGAGCAATGCTTGTAAATAATTATTTGAAACACTTGTAAATAATGTCTTTAATATTTTGAACATGAATCATATAGAAAATCAGGCAGCTTCTAATATAGATTCAAGGCCACTCCAATTTAATTGCTTCAGATACCTGCTATTATTTAAGAAATCTTAACTCTACTAACATCACCAAAGGATTAACTATTCAAGAAACTCTTTTTCAATTCACTCCCCACCTGGTGCCTGCTTTTGGTTATGTCACAGTAGGTGAACAGCAGAATCAGCTGCAAGGGGGAAATGAAAAATGAAATTCAAATAGTCATGGCTTATCCCCACCTCTCCAAGCAACCGGCCCGCCCCGCCCCCCTCGCCCCCACTTCAGCTGCCACACACACACCACTTCTGAAGTGAAACAAAATTTGAAGTCTTTTGAGGGAGTTATTTGCTTGACTAGTCATTGCAGGGTTTTTCTTTTCAATAGCATGCTTCATTACTGCACTTTACATTTCCAAACACCTCTACATGAAGGACAACTGCATTGCTACCGACCAGTAAATGTGGGAAAGAACAGATAACACACTTGAACGAGCTGAAGTTTAGAGAAGTGAAGTTCAACATTATTATACTTACGTAGATTGCTCCTATCTTGTGCATATGAACAAAACTGGTATCTTTCTAAACGCAGAAACATACCTAAACACACCGTCACTTTCAAGAGGAGCAAAGCATCCCGAGCGTCCACATACAGTAACATAGGTCTTCACGCACGGTACAGTTGCCCCAGTTCCAGAGCTGGAAGCTTTCATCACAATCAATGCTAGGACATAAATTCCAGTTTAAAATATTTCTAAGCAAAAATTCAGTTTTGTGCTATCAATGAAAAAAATTGAGGATGTTTGAGATTATGAACAAAACTGTATGACACTTGACATTGAGTTAGGATGGTCTGATTTTAAGTCTGTTGTGTCAAAAGAAATTTCACTAAGATAACTTTGAAGAAGCAGTTTATTTTGTGAAATTCTCAAAGTATTAGAATCACATGAGCCCCACTGCTAAAATTTCACAGGATTTTATTTTGACATTTAATTGGTCTGTTTTGTCACTGTTCAGAAAACATGCATGAAGATGCTTCCCATTTTGGGAGAAGTGGGAGCCTTCCAAAGAGCATCACAAAAGAGTTGCTGGTAAGGATCCTGAAAGGCCTCCATCCTTCCTCACCAGTGGGACAGTTATTCGAACATTCTTTGAGCAAAACTCCCATATAACTTCCTAGATATCCTTTTCCTCAAAATGGCTTCACATACTCCTTACTAGTCATTTCCTCTAACACTCCTGGGACAGCAGTCAAGAGACGTGCAAAATATTTTTATTTTTTAAACTTTGCTATAGCTGAATTATACCAATAAGACTCAAGGTGTCTTCATGAGTAATATCAAGATAAATTCCCACTAATGTTATCCTTAGGGTTTCCTCTTCATTCTCCCTTATTCTCTACTGGCTATCCTAGAACACCAGAAAAAGAAAACCCAGGCGTGAAAGCATCTACTCTGAAGAACAGCCCGGAATTCATTGTGCATTTCCCATGGTTAAAGTGTTTTAAATACCTTTATGTATTCTTTTAAAAGAAATTAACAAGATGGTTTTAAATGTTTATTTCTACCTAAGTGTAACAGATGAGAAACACTTTCCCTGAAATCTACATTTTTATAATCTATATATCTGTATTGATAATATTGAAAATGCATTCGAGATAACTCTTCACAAAGTTGACTTTTATATATGCAATTCATCAGCTCAATACAGTAGAAATACTTAAGAGGTGAAAGACACTTCAGGCTTATTTCATTAACAAAGTTGACTGCACTTCAAAATATCAATGGTTCAACTGTTAAATGTTTGCATAGCTCAGCTTTATTTTTAAAAGTCTATCTAAATGGACATCTGAGTACTTTCCAGCAGATAGTTCAACAATAAACCTGGCTTAATTTTCTGGCCCAATACTTACTTGTAGAGAATATTAAGTTGGGGAAAACAGGATCAGAAATATATATTTACACTGGTAAAGATTGGGCCAGAATGTATATTTATAATCTGAAACTCTTCCCTACCTTTCATGAAATGGCCATAATTCTAAAGCAGATTTTATTTTTTAATCCTGCAACGATTACTCTAGTTGTGTTGTGTCAGTAGCAAACTAGAGTAGCCCAGGGAGTGGGGAGTCTGTTAAAGTCATCAGTGGAAGCAAAAACTTTTTTTTTTTTTGAGGAAGATTAGCCCTGAGCTAACTGCTGCCAATCCTCCTCTTTTTGCTGGGGAAGACTGGCCCTGAGCTAACATCCATGCCCATCTTCCTCTACTTTATATGTGGGACGCCTACCACACAGTAGCTGGACAAGTGGTGCCATGTCTGCACCCGGGATCCGAACCGGCAAACCCCCGGCCACCGAAGCGGGACATGAGCACTTAACCGCTGCGCCACCGGGCCAGCCCCTGGAAGCAAATTTCATTAACCTTCCTGGACAATGCAAAAACAAAAAGACTAAAGAGAGCCTCTGTATTTACATATTCAATAAAAATTTATTCACATTCTCTTACAAAATATGTACACAAAACATCAGTGTGATTACAACTTCACACCACAACGACTCCAGGTGGACCAGCAAGTCACTGGGAAAGCATGTGCTTACACCGACCTATTGACAGATTCACCAGAAACGCTGGCGTAATTATCAACACTTAATACGACAGCGCTTTAAGGGTTTACTCATCCGGGATCAAAATCATTTAAATATCTTTTTAAAACTTCTGTTTGGACCAATAAGTAGTTACTTAAACATCAGTTTTAATACCTAGCATTTACTGGCCAAAACACACTGTTTGCAATTTGCCTTTCTTTAGAAAACAACAGTTACTTTAAGTTCAAAGATTTAAAGACTACTCCGACTTATGCAAGGAAAGCAGCTCGTTCTCCAAAAAAACCATGAAGACTAGGAGAAGAGGGGCCGAGTTACCACCCAGCGCGGCACCCTTTCCACGGGGCACCGCAGCCCGCGGCCCGGACCTCCGCTTCTGCGACCGAGGGGCCGCCCTCCCGCCCGATTAACCCGCACCGCAGCCAGCGCCGCGGAAGCCGCGAGGGGCGCCGCCGGTCGGAGGCGCTGCGGCGGGGCTCCGGGGCGCCCAGCGGGGCAGGGTCCCGGCGTGCGGCGCAGCGACGGCCCCGCGGCCGCGGCGGGCGGAGTGGGGCGCAAGGGCGACCCCGAGGCGAGGAGAGCCGCGATCCGTGCGCCCCGCCTCGCTCACCCAGCCTGTCGTGGGGACCGCGGCGGCCCCGCAGCCCGGCCCTCGGACGCGCGCCTGAAGGGGGGGGTTAGCTGACCTCTCAGCCGACTGATACCCCGGGACAGCGGCGCCACCGACCGGCGGCGGCCCGCCCCTCCGCTTCTCCAGCCGCGGAGACCGCACGGCCCGGCGCCGGGCGCCTTCAGAACCACTCCGCCTCGTCAGCCCACAGGACGCGGGAGCGCCGCCAGCCGCAGGGGGCGGCCGCCGTCGGCGGGGCGGGACGGCGCCGCGAGGCCGCGCTGCCCCCGCCCTGGACCCCGGTCCCCGGCCGCGCTGCCCACCCCCTCGACCCCCGGCCGCGCTGCCTCCACCCCAACCCCCAGCCCGAGGCCGCGCTGTCCCCGCCCTGGACCCCGGCCGCGCTGCCTCCACCCCGACCCCCGGCCCGAGGCCGCGCTGTCCCCGCCCTGGACCCCGGTCCCCGGCCGCGCTGCCTCCACCCCGACCCCCGGCCCGAGGCCGCGCTGTCCCCGCCCTGGACCCCGGTCCCCGGCCGCGATGCCTCCACCCCGACCCCCGGCCCGAGGCTGCGCTGCCCCGACCCCGGCCCCTGGCCCGAGGCCGCGCTGCCCCCACCCCAGGCCCGGCCTCCATCCAGTCCCCACCCAGCCCCCGGCCCCCGCCCCGAGGCGGCCCCCACCCAGCTCCGCTCCGCCTCCTGCGCCGCGTCGCGGGCTCCTCGGCCTCGGGTCGGGCCGGCGCGCCACTTACCCGCCGCGGTGGGGTTTACGTAGCGGACTCGTCACAGCTGACGGACGGAGGAGGTGGAGGCGGCACCCGACCGCCGCTCGGGAGCCGCGCCGCCGCCCAGCAACCCGGCGCCGCCGGCCCACGTCGCCCCACGTCAGCTCTGATGCGGCCGCCGCCTCCCCACCAGCTGGGCCCAAAAGCCGCGCAGCCGCCTTCGGAACCGCGTCCTCGCGCCCCGCCCTCCGCCGCCCGGCTCGGCGACTGCCTCCTGGGGCAGCCCGGCGGAAAGATCCAAGGCTCGAACCCCGCCCCCTGCAGGCCGCCCGCGGGAGTGCGGCGCTGACAATCCAACAATTAAATGGAACGGGGCAGGGGAGGGGGAAGGAGACGGCGGGGGCGGGGCGGGGGGGGGGGGGGCGGGGCCGGGAGGAGGAAGGCCGAGTCCGAGGCGGGGCGGGGGGGCGGGCTGGAGGCCCGACGCTGCCCCGCCACGCGGGCGCCTGGAAGCCGGTTATCTGCTCGCTAGGTTAACGGCAGCCGCCAAGGCCTCTACCCCTCGAGGTCACCTCTCCTCTAGGCTGCCGGCCAGGGCGTCCTCGTCCCTAACCCCAAGCCGAGGTCCGCGAGCGTCGTGGGACGCTTGCGGCCGGAGGCGCATCCTGCGACCCCCGGGGATGCCGAGTGGGCCTCCGGAGCGTGGCCATCCCGAGAGACGCCCTTCTGCCCAGAGTCCCCGGCTGGACGCGAGCCCCCCGGATGCGCCCTGCCGCCGCCTCCGCGGTGACCTTGTCTCTGCGTCAGTGTCGCGGAGAAACAGCGACAGACCCGCTGGAGATGTGACAGCAGAGGAAGGCCTTTGATAGCAAGCAAACCCCTGCCTCTGGGAGAGTCCAGCTTTCGCCCGGCTGAACGCCGGGGCTTCCAGAGGAGCGGTTCTGTCCCGTAGAGCAGTCACCTGTTGTCAACCGGGAGCCCATTCTTGCGTGCTCGGAACAGGCGAAGTTGTAAGGCGGAGTACGCGCTCAAAAAGGCGGGGCTTTTAGCCTAAAAGCAAGCCTCTTTACGTTTAGAAAAGACGAATTTCCCACAATGACCTACCACCCACCTCGTGGCGCTCAGGAGTGCGGCTCGCTGGAGACCGCGGTGGAGGACGCTACTTGAAAAGTTGCTGAGGAAAGGGGACAAAAGCATTTGTCAACGTAGGGCAGGTAGAGAAGGGAAGCTTTGTGAAATATTAGACGCCCAGCAGAGCGGAAGAAAACCTTGGACTCTTCAGTGCTAGATTTTTGCCACCCTGAACTACTTGCAGCTTTAATGCATGCTAGCAGAGATAAGAAAGTAAAAACCCGGTAAGTTCACTTCCCGCTCTTGACATAGGCAGAATTCTGAAGTTCCTCCTCCTAGTATAATAGATGATGTCTATCTCCACCACCTTATAAAAATTAAGTTCTTAATGAGAAACATTAGCAAATTAGTAAAATGTAAAAGTTAACCAAGTCCTTTTTGTGTGTGGTTAGACAAGGCTGGCACAGTATATTTATCCATAAGTAACCCATACAGTTTATTTTAGCTCAGAAAATAGGGGTCATTGGAAGGAAAGACAAGAAAAAAGGCCAGATTACTAAACCCTGAAAACAATGCCATTCGTTATGGTCGAGACTGACCATGTGCCGGATGGATAGATTTTAAGCTACAAGTGATTTGGGGGAAACTGTGATCATTCTCCTTCCCAAAACATTGTTCTCCACCTATTTGTTTATTCCTAAATTTCTCCAACAAAGTATACATTACATAGAATTTATTAGACATAGGCCTTAAAATGCTAGTATGGGGGGGAAATCAACCCTTACTTAGATGTAAATGTCCAGTCCTTCTGGAGAGCAGGGGAAGAGCACCCGCAGAGGGCAGGAGATAGCAGGAAAGGTACAAGTCGTTTCCTATTGGTGCTACGACAAATTACCACAAACTCAGTGGCTTAAAACAACACCAATTTATTATCCAGCGGTTCCATAGGTCAAAAGTCCAATCCACATCTCACAGAGCTAAAATCAAGAGGTCAGCTCCAGGGTCAGCTCCTTGCCTTCTCCAGCTCCTAGATGCAGCCCACATCCCTTGGCTCATGGCCCTTTCCTACCATCTTCAAAACCGGCAACAGCTGATCGAGTCCATCTCTTTGATTCTCTCTCTTGCTTCTGTCTTCTACTTATAAGAACCCCCGTGATTACATTGGGCCCACCCTGATAATCCAGGATAATCTCCCCATCTCAAAATAACTGATTAGCAACCTTAATGCCACCTGCAACCTTCATTTTCCTTTGCCATGCAACCTAATATATTCACAGGTTCCAGGGGTTAAGTGTAGATGTGTTTGTGGTGCCATGATTCTGCCTACCCACAGTAAAGGATGCCAAAAGAGGCTTGAGCTCCTGGGACAAACCACCTGCCTGTCGGAGTCATCCCTTAAAAGTGATTCAAGCATTTGATTAGAAATGCCAATGACAGATTTTTCAGTTTCTCATCTTTACAACTACTGTAAAGATGATAGAACATTTTAAATGGAATATCAGGGATAAAGAAGAGCAGCATGGTTATAGAGTATTCTCATTTTGTATGGTCAGCCACTATAGTCTCAAAGTGCCTTCATAATTTGCACTTAGTAGGACCTACTCTAAATCCAAGCTTTGTTCAAATCTAATTTTCATAGATCAAGGGAAATTGTATCCACAAGAACTGTTTCTATCACAGAATAGGAATTCATATCAGGCCAAAAGAATTATAGGAATGGCAATTTCTTGTTTTCGAAATATTTTTTACTATGTTCCCTATAATACCAATATTTCACTGCTATATGTATGTATGCTTAATTATAAAGCTCAGAAACCAGAGACTATGTCTTTTTTTCTCTCTTAATATCAGAGTGTTAGTTATTGGAATACTACATCATTCGTCTGCCAGTGTCCAGGAATACTGTGTTTTGAAGGAACTGGGCAAAGATGATACTTGGGTGACGTACACATACTTGCACGCCCACCAAATCGGGGCCTTGCTATCACCTTGCTGTGAGCTGTAATAGAAGTTAAAAATCATAGAGTCCAAGCTGGGTTTGAATCTAGATGTATTAGCTCTGGGCAAGTTTCATGTCCTCTTTAGGAAGGCATAAGTTTTTAAATGGAAAGAATAATAGTACCTACTTCTTTGGGTTGTTACAAAGATTAAATAAAGTATCTGCCGTAAGGTAAGTGCTCAGTAAAAAAAGCTAACCATTTTGGGGTTGGCCCTGTGGCATAGTAGTTGGGTTTGGCGTGATCCGCTTTGGCAGCCCAGGTTCTTGTTTTCGGATCCTGGGCACAGACAGACTCCACTCGTCAAGCCATGTTGTGGCAGCAACCCTCATACAAAATAGAGGAAGACTGGCACAGATGTTAGCTCAGGGCTAAGCAAAAAAAAAAAAGAGGAATATTGGCAACAGGTGTTAGCTCAGAGCAAATCTTCCTCACCAAAAAAATAAAAATAAAAAATTTAAAAAGGTAGCCATTTTTATATTGGTCCACTGTGTAGGTTTTTGGGTTCCTCACCTAGGCAATATTTAGTTCTCTGTTGAGGAGAGACAGCTAGACTACCTACTTTCCTGAGAAAATACAGGCTGTCACTCAACACCCTCATCCTCTCTCCTCACCTCAAAATATCTCTATCTTAAACTGTTCCTCCCTTTTTGGGTCAAGAGGAGTGCCTCCTTTTTTTTCCTTTCCAAATCCAATTGTAATATGTGTCATTTCTTTCTCATATCAGATCTGCTCAATTATCAGCTGCCTTGTACCTTCAGTCTCTTTCTTCCTCTTGGCTCCTTCTCCTCTTCCTGCAAATGCATTTTTATCTTGTCTCTCCTTGAAAACTCTTGACACTGCTTCTCTTGCAAGGAAGGTTACAGAGTTGCCAACTCCAGGGTGCACATTCACAGTACATTTTTTGCCCCTGTGCCTGTTGTTCCATCTCTTGCCATTCTCTCTCTCAGACTTCTCAAGAATAGAAGGCACTTGCTGTGGTCGCTTCCTTACCATCCACTTTTTTATTTCTTATTCTCTGGCTATCTGATTTTTGCCCTCTTCTCTCCTCTTTCTGATTACACTTTTTCTCATTCTTCATACTCTTTGATCTCTTATCCTCATCTGACATTACCAGTTACTCCTACCTTCATAATATCATCTCCTCCCTGAGTTTCCATGACACTTGACTCTCCTGGTTTCGCTCCTCTGCTTTGCTTTGCTACTGCAGACAGTCCTGAATTTTCTGCCCTTAGACATCTTCCACAGTGTCTTCCTTAGTTATCTCATCATTCCTGTTTATTTGGAAAGAAAATTCTAAAATTTATACCCAAGCTCCCGACTTCTTTCCCTATCACCAGGTCATATTTCCAATCACCTGATAGAAATTTCCACTTGCATGGCCTAGGATCATTTCCAACTCAGTAGATTCAAAACTGCATATATCATCTTCCCTCTGCATACTTGAACCTTGGGGTTTTTTTTGTTTCAGAAATGTTAATAGCACTTTTCAGCTCCCAGTCATCCTGCCTCTGATCCTTGAAGTCATTTTGGTCATGCTTTACTATACCATTGAGGATCCATTTAGTAAATAATTTGAAGTGCCTACTATGTTCTAGGCCTTATGTTAAATGCCACGTCCTATTACTTTTACCTGTAGAAGTTGGCATCTACCCTTTCCTTCTCATTCCTGCTATCACTAGTCTGATTGGGGTCATCCTTGCCTTGATATAATTCATTGTAAGTGTTTCTGTCTGGCTCATTTTCCTCATGCATGGCTCTCACGATGTGATTCTCTTCTTAAAAGTCTAGAATGACTAAGAAGGACTGAGACTTAAAGGGTCAGAGGTGGAAAGGAGACTGAATTCCCTTTGGTGGCCTCCTGAATTTTGTACTACATGTATTGCATATTCTAAAGACATAAAATTTTAATTAAAACAAAGAAAAACTTCAGTACAATCTTATTGGCTAACAAAGTCCAAATCCCTTAGTTCAGCATAAAGCCCTTCATGATCCGGGTCCAGCTTAAGTCTGCAGCCCTGCTCTGTATTAGTCCCTTCTGTTTCCTGCCACACTGGTTCCCATACCTTGCTGCACCTCAGGATCATCTGAAGGGCTTGTTGAAAAGACGTGTTCCCGGGCCCTAGGCCCTACCAACTGACATACTGAGTCAGAATCTCCAAAGGAACAGCCTGCAAATCTACCTTTTCTAGAGTTTCCAGATCAGTCTGACAAACTGCAAGATTATTACTCTGCAGCACGTTAGCCAAGCTTTCCCACTTCCTGTTCCATATATTTTCCTTACATTTTCCAATCTTTTTGGCCTGTATTCACTCCATTTTCTCACCAATTCTCTATATCTACCTGTTGAAATCTTACCCATCCTTTAAGACCCAGCTTACGTACCACCTCTTTAGAAATAATCCATCTCTTCTTTGCTTGTGATTAATGATTATTGTCAGGGCTCCAGAGCCAGAATTATGAGTTAAAATTCCATTTTTCATCCTTTACTAGCTGTATCAATGTTGGGCAAGTTCCTAATCCTCTCTGTGCCTCAGTTTCCTCACTTGTGAAATGAGGATGATGTTAGTACATGCCTCATGGGTTGTTGCGAGAACTAATTCATTTAAAGTAGGTAGAACTTTGTGCCTGGCCCAAAGTAAGCACTAAATAAATGTTAGCTATAATTAATACTTTATGATTTGCCCAAGTTCCTTTGTTGACTTGAGTGGAATCTGAGAGCTAGAAAGAACCTTAAAAATCTAAAACAGCTCCTTTGTTTTATAGATTAGAAAGTGGAGGCTGAGAGGTTACAACACTTGCTTTGGCTAATAAATAGTAATATCAGGACTAGAATCCAGGATTTGTGTCTTTTAATCCTGTACTACTTCCACTATACCCAAGATCTGGGAATTTTGCATTGTTCAAATGACTGTCTTCCTACTTTGTTTATTTTACTGATTTACCCCAGGAGAGAATTAGAAATGGATTCACTTTAATGCATTTTACATAGGCCCTTTCTATTCAAGCTAGGATTTGAGGCTCTGAAAAATATAATGTGCCCAGTTAAAATATTTGAGAATGATAAAACAAGTCAGTGTAATGTGTACTTGATTTATTATGTCTCCAATATGCTGTTTGGCAAGAAATGTTTCATTCTACTAGAAAGTTAACAGTTCTAGGTTCCAACATAGGAAATATCCTTCTATATGTGGGTGTGTGAACTTTGTTCTTTGAGTTCGGTAAACTTAAACTTCCAAATCTAATATGCTCTGAACTCAGCAGAATATTTAGAACTGTAGTTAAAGGATGGATATTATAATAAAAACTCAGGCCACTGAATTCTTTAAACCTGTGAGATTATTTGCAGTCACTAAACTATGTCTAATTTTTTAAATCATAAAAATGCAATGAAAATCTACTTTCAAATGTTTTTCTACATTGTTTTAATTGACAACAAATTCACTTTCACCAGATTTTCTGTTTACACACATAATTACATTTAGCTATTGTCAGAGAAAACCATAAGGCTGGAAAACTATGAAGCTTGGCTAAAATTGACCTCTGTTCAACCCTAGAAATTGCAGGATTTAATAGAATTGGTATAGAGACTTGGTTCTGTTCTCTGAATATTTTTTGGTAGAATAATGGTAGTAATTGGTATTTCTTTTATTTTTATATTTTTAGGTATGTAGACGAGAGGCTGGCCAGCCCTGGTGGTCTGGTGGTTAAGATTCAGTGCTTTTGTCACCATGGCCTGGATTCATTTCCCGTCAGGGAACCATACCACCCGTTGAATCACGCCATACATCTGTTGGTTGTCATACTATGGCAGCTGCTTATTGCTGTGATGCTGAAAGCTTTGCCACCAGGATTCACATACCAGCACGGTCACCCATGGTGCACAGGTTTCAGTGGAGTTTCCAGACCAGACAGACTAGGAAGGAGGACCTGGCCACCCACTTCCAAAGAAATTGGCCGTGAAAACCCTATGAATAACAGCAGAACCTTGTCTGATATAGGGCCAGAAGGAGAGAGGATGGCACAAAAAGACAGGGCAGGGTTCCGCTAGGAGTCAGAATCGATTGGATGGCACTAACAACAAAGATGAGATGCCAGAGGAACACCAGCGTGGTAAAGATGTCAATAATAATTCATAGAGTGTAAGAACTGCTTTTTAAGTACTTTATTAATCATTTTAATTATTAAGAAGAAATTTGAAATTAGTCCCAGAATTAAGTCCAATGACTATTATATAAGGCCCTTCAAAACAATCACGCCCCACTTTACAAGAGATTAGAAGGTTACTGGATTAAAATAAAACAGCACCTCCTATGACGAGGAGGGTTCATTCTAGCAACTGTTTGGGACAGGGACTAAATTCTGAAGACTAAATTCCATTACTTTGAAATGGCAGCTGTCAAATCTCAGTTGTGCACATGATTGTTAGAAAAAGGCGAAATCAAGGTGAGCCAAACTGAAAACACATGTCGAGAGCTAGGTAAAAAGCATCAGGTTGGATTGACTCATGATGAGATGGGCAACTGATCGATCAGACCAAAAAGAGGAAACGCAAGACCGTTAACACGGAGCAGGGAGTGTCAGTGCTTTAAGGGGGTCGGGTGCTCTGGAATCCTAAATCAGGTTGTTGGAAAGGGGGTTAGGGGTGGAGAGAAGGAGAGAATGGGAGGGAAAAGGTAAGAGGGTAGAAGGCTGTATACACACACACACACACACACATACACACAGTTGGCCTTCCCTATCCGTGGGTTCCTCATTGGTGGATTCAACTGATGCAGATGGAAAGGTCTGTTATAGTTGCATCTGTACTGAACACATACAGACTTTTTTTCCTTGTCCTTATTCCCTAAACAATACAGTAAAACAACTATTTACATAGCATTTACATTTTATTAGGTATTATAAGTAGTCTAGTGGTGATTTAAAGTATATGGGAGGATGTGTGTGGGTTATATGCAAATACTATGCCATTTTATAGAAGGGACTTGAGCATACCTGGTATACTTGAGCATACTTTTGGTATCTGCGGGGGTCCTAGAACCAATCTCTGGTGGGTATCAAGGGACAACTGTACGTATGTGTATATATCCACCCAGCCCCCTTCAAGCCCATAAGAACTACAGCAAGAGAGAAGCCAGGCATGAGGAAAAGAGAGAGATTGTCATTATCAATATATTTCATATTGGAAAAGGGCTCTGCCATTTTTTTGCTCTGTGACTTTAGCCTCCCTCTCAGCCCACTTTTCTTTAGCTGTAGAAGAGAGATCATAATAGCGACCGCATAAGGTATTTTCAAAGAATAAATTAATAAAAATGTAAAGGCTTTGGTACAGTATTTTCAAAGAATAAATTAATAAAGATGTAAAGGCTTTGGTACAGTATGTAACACTAAGCGCTCAATAAATATTAGCTATCATTACTTTATTAGCCAGTTTATATCATATTCATAATATAGTAGAAGAGGTAGTAGACACATTTAGAAATCATCTAGGAAAGTTTAACCCCCGAGTACATGTACTTCTTACATTTTGAACTTAACGACATGTAAAAATCCTATCCACGAGAGCCAGTTGTACACCACCAAATGTAACGGCCCTTCAGTCTGATGAAGATTCTCATCTTGACCAAACTCTAGCCAGGCTCCTCTGAGCCCTTTTCTCACCTTGACCTTTAAAGACTGGAACGAAGGGCAAACATAGTTTCTAATACCTCAAGGCCGCATCCCTAGGATGACCCTAGCCCCCTTAGAGTGCCTGCCTGAGCAAACTCAAAGCTGCCAGAAGAATCTGCAGCTTGTTCCAGCCAACACCTAAAGAAAGGGCCCGTCTCCCAGTTGCTGTGGGAGGGTAGGAGCTTCGATAAGCAACAGTTAACAAACCCAATGGGTTTCACATGGCCCAACCCTGACTTCGCACTTTTTATAATTGATCACTTCCCTGACTCTGCCGCACCCCATTCACCCCCCTCCCTATTCTTGCATTCTCCCTTTAAAAAGCCCAATCACTTCTCTATAAATCAAAGTTGAGTTCAGTTCATGCGGGACTCTTTTCCCTATTGCAATAGTATATACAGTAGTCTCCCATTATCTGCAGTTTCAGTTACCCAAGGTCAACCATGGTCTGAAAATATTAAATGGAAAATTCCAGAAATAAACAACTCATGTTTTAAATTGCATGCCATTCTGAGTAGGGTGATGAAGTCTTGTGCAATCTCGTGCCGTCTTGCTCCATCCCCTGCCCAGGACATGAATCATCTCTTTGTCCAGCATATTCATGCTGTATATGCTACTAACTTGTTAGTCACCTAGTAGCCATCTGGGTCATCAGACCAATCGTTGTCGTATCGCAGTGCTTGTGTTCAAGTAACCCTTATTTTACTTAATGGGCCCAAAGTACAAGAATATTGATGGTGGCAATTTCGCTATGTGAAAGAGCAGCCATAAAGTGCTTCCCTTAAGTGAAAAAGTGAAAGTTCTCAACTTAACAAGGAAAGGAAAAAAATCACATGCTGACGTTGCTAAAATCTACTGTAACTCTTATTACAGTATATGGTTATAATTGTTCTATTTTGTTATTAGTTGTTAATCTCTTACTATGCCTAATTTACAAATTAAACTTTATCATAGGTATATATCTATAGGAAAACACATATATTAGGTTCGGTACTATTCGTGGTTTCAGGCATCCACTGGGGGCCTTGGAACGCATCCCCGCAGATAAGGGATAAGGAGGGACTACTGTATTTGATTAAATTCTGTTCTTACCACTTTCACTAGTGTCTGGCTTTGTTTATCCATGACAAGTCACAGGAAGCATTAAACATCCCTGAGTCACCTCGCCATCTATGACAGGCAGGCAAACTTTCCGATCCTCCTGTTTCTTCTATTACTTTCTTCATTGGAGAGACGTTTTTGGTACCTGCCACGCTCCCCTCCTTGGCCTTGGAGTGCTTGCATTCCAGTTAGGTCCACTGCAGGCTGCAGTGCTCTCCCTCCCTCATGTGGGATGCTGTGCCTTCCTCTGACGCTTCCACACCGGTGCCCACGCTGCATCCTCACACCTTCAGCCTGTAGTTTCTCCTTCACCTCTTTTCAACTCTTTCTTAATTGCTAAAGGAAAGGAAAAAAGACTCCTTGCTTTCTCTAATTCTATTTCATTTAGGAAGCCAGAACACATGTCTAATCACACCCCTTGGGCATAATAGTAGAGGTAGTAATAGACCTATTTGAAGGAAAAAGAAATGTTCAAGTTCTAAAATAAAATTAGGCTAAAAAAGAGTCAATGCCTTCAAGCTCTGAGGAACTCATTAATGTGTGAAGTTCTGTTTAGAATTTCCACAAACGCCTCCACTGATGAAGTAATGTTTCTCTAGTGATACCATCCTCCATCTTCAGCATACAAAATAAATTTAAGAACTCCTTCTACTTTATCTTCCTTCTGTTTGTTAATTACTTATAATTCAGAAGTGTTGTATGTTTCACTCATTAAGAAATGTTTAGGGGGCCGGCCCCATGCCCCAGTGGTTAAGTTCTCATGCTCCGCTTTGGGAGCCTGGGGTTTCGCCAGTTTGGATCCTGGGTGTGGACATGGCACCGCTCATTGGGCCATGCTGGGTTGGCGTCCCACATAGCACAACCAGAAGGCCCTACAGCTAGAATATATAACTATGTACTGGGGCGCTTTGGGAAGAAGAAGAAGATTGGCAACAGATGTTAGCTCAGGTGCCAATCTTAAAAAAGGGAAGAAATATTTAGACAGATGTTAACTAGACTTATTGTGGTGATCATTTCATAATGTACATAAATATCAAATCACTATGTGTACACCTGAAGTGAATAGGATATTGTATGTCAATCATACTTCAATATTAAAAAAGAAATATTTTTGGAGGACATACTTCATTCAAGGAGAACAGTCCATAGTGATTACATTATGGCTTAAATAGGCTTCATGCTACTATTATTTATGCTATTTTGCCGTGGAAAAATATTTTTCCTTCTAAACAGTTAATTTTTCATCAAACCTTTAGAATACAGTTCATCTGTAAATTGTATATAATTTTCAAATTCAGAGATTAATGAATTGGTAATAAAATTTTCTGCACTAAGTCTTGACTTGTGAAAATCAAGATAGGATGGGCTTTTCATGTTCTCAATTCCTGAAACATGCTACCTCAGACCCTTTTCACATGCCATTCCCTCTGACTGTAATACTTTTCCCTTTCTTTTGCCTAGTTAATTTGTGTTCGTCCTTCAGAGCTTGGCTCATTATGTCTTCTTCAGTGAAGCTTCCCTTTATTTGACAGACTGGATTAAGCCACTTTAACCATTTATATGCTTTCACTTTAGACTTCTCTTTTGTAGCACTTACCATAATTGCAGTTAAGTGATTATGTCCACGAGTATTTAAAGCCTATCTCTCCTGCTAGAGTATAAACTCCACGATGGCCACGGTTTCTTTCAATACTGTTTCCATAAAAACTCCTAAATTATCCCTTAGGATCACCTATAAGAAGTCAGGACATTATGGGGAACCCATTACGTAGCCCCCAACACAGTTGCGTGCTCACCTTAGGCTCTTGAATACCTGTCTGTTTGCTTTACTTGACTTGTAGAGTTCATGTCATGTGCTGGAGATGTTTAATAACTGTTTTCTAATAAGATGAGGACTAAGAAGAGTCTTGTGAAAAATGTACTTGAAATGAAGGATTAGCCAGCATGTCTCTATAAAACGTAAGGGAAGTGATATGCATATTATTTTGTATATAAAATACCTCATTTTTAAGCATGCTTCATCGATAGTAAGTACTCTAACTAGAATTTACCAAGTTCTTGGTCTTCATAAAGCGACAACCTCTTATTTATTAGGTTATAGTGCCATCATGTGGACATTTTATTTTCCTAAAATAAAATGTAGCATTTTTGAAGACGACAGTAGAAAACCACTATTGGGAAACCCAGCCATTCCACACCGAAGCATGACAACTTGTAATTTAGTATTGCTTTCTAAGACTGGCTGTGTAAGATTCCCGTGGGGATTTCTAATCTGAATTGTTAGTATGCAGAGTTTGGAAACACTCATTTGAATGATAAAAGCAACCTTCTGAATGTGATGGCTTGAAGATTCATGCAGTCCCTGCCTCAACCAGGTTTTTCTTTTCTGTTTTACTTTTGTTTATCGGTCTATTTTAAAGGATACAGATGAACAGCCAGATGAAAAGATACACAGATCAAGAAGGGAATCCTTCCAGAAACACATGACCTCCAGTCCCTCGGAGTTGAGGTGTGCCCCCTCCCGGCACATGGGTGTGTTCACCGACCCCGAAGCTCTCAGAATCCCATAGTTTAGGGATTTTTAGGGTGGCCGCATCCCGAGGGCAATCTTCAGCCTCCTTCCTTCCCCCGAGGATGGGGGAAGGGGCTGAAAGTTCCAAGTTTCCAACCAAGGCTTGGACTTTCCGTGACCAGCCCCCTGAAGCTACCTAAGAGGCCACCAGGAGTCACTTCATTAGAACAAAAGGTGCTCCTGTCACCCAGGAAATTCCAAGGGGTGCAGGGGCTCTGTGTCAGGAATCAGGGTGTCGACGAAAACAATCCACAACCAATCTATAAATGAAAATTTGGGAGAGTTTATTCTGAGCTAAAATCTGAGGACCATGGCCCAGGGCCTTTCTTCCTGAAGGAAGAAAGGGCACCAAAGAAGTGGGGTACACAGAGCGGTTATATACCCCCAAACAGGATGTTTCACATATGATTGAAATGTCCCTTTTGCAAAAGTCTCGAGACTGCTCTGTCGGCACAGCGATTGATGGAAATAGCAGGTAGGTCTGCTGTCTCGGTGGACACAGCAGGGTGGCAGGTCTGTTGTCTCCAGCTGAGTGGTCACAGGTGAGCTGGGTGGTCAAAGGTGAGCGCAGCAATCAGTTCGTAGCCTAAGGAAAGATGCTTATCCTTAAGGAAATGCCAATGTGGGGGGAAGTTGCACCTTTATCTTAAGGCCATTTGTTCTTACCACAGGAAATGTTTAAAGCAGATATGCAATGCGAGCTCAATGGCCACAGTCAGGCCCTTTTGGAAAAAACAGTCAGGCTGAATTAGGTTTACACCAAATGGCTTCCTCATATACTCCAATATATCCTATTGCTTGCCATTTCTATTTGTCAAGGGAAAGAGACCAAATATATATTTCTCGTTATGTCACAATTAGCCATTCTCATAGGTGTTCAGAGGCATCTCTGTTGTTTTTATTTGCATTTCCCTCTGGACTAACAATGTTGAGCTAAGCACCTTTTCACGGAATTATTTTCCCCCTCTCTATCTTCTTTGGTGAAACATCTTTGCCCATTTTTTAATCGGGTTTTTTGTTTTCTTGTTATTGACTTTTGAGAATTATTTATACATTCTAGGTAGAAGTCCTTATTATATATGTGTCCTGCAAGTATTTTCTCCCTGTCTCAGCTTGTGTCTTTATTATCCTAATCACAGCTTTTGTTTTTTTTGTTTTTTTGTGTTTTTTTTGGAGGAAGATTAGCCCTCAGCTAACTACTGCCAATCCTCCTCTTTTTGCTGAGGAAGCCTGGCCCTGAGCTCACATCCGTGCCCATCTTCCTCTAGTTTATACGTGGGACGCCTACCACAGCATGGCTGCCAAGCAGTGCCATGTCAGCACCCAGGATCCGAACCAGCGAACCCCGGGCCGCCGAGAAGCGGAACGTGCGAACTTAACCGCTGCGCCACCGGGCTGGCCCCCCTAATCACAGCTTTTGAAGAGAAGTTTTTAACTTTGATGAAATCCAACCTATCAATTTATTATTTTATGAGTCAAGACTTTGGTGTCAAACCTAAAGAAATCTTTGCCTAAAGAACAAAGATTTTTCTCATATGTTTTCTTCTAGAAGGATAATAATCTCAGATTTTACTGATCAGCTTTTTAAATTTCTTTGTTTATGGTTATGAGGCTGTGAAAAAGAAATCAGGAGACAAAGTCTTTTTTGCCACGTTAATAGTAAAAAATGAATTTTAATGTAAAAAATCAACAGAATCACCCAGACTGGCTCAGGAGAGCAATATAGTCTATGGAAAAGAGTTCCAAAAAGATAAGCTCCTTGAAAATTCCAGTGAATCTAGATATGAATACCAAAATATCTGTGTAAAAGGCTAAGTGCAATGACTGTCGTGGAGAGCTAAGCATTAGTTGGTGAATCCACTCAAAGTTAAACTGACATTCACCAGGAACTAAACATGGTAAAGTATATGGTTCAAGCAACTCTGCATCACAGATGTGGACCCACAGAAATAGAGAGTTGGAAGGAACTTTAGAATTCTTCTGTTTTAAAACTTTACTTAGCAGTTTAACTCCTTTTTAAGGTGAATAACTGAACTGATAAAAACAAGTACTCTCTTTGAAGCTGAGACTGAGCCCTACCTCCTCCAAGAAGGAAGATGTGGTTGAAAACGTCCTTTGGATTTCCCAATTAAAAGATCACTTAATGAACACTGACTATTGCTTTGTGTAGGCACTGTGGGTAGGCAATGAAAATGAGAGTCGGGAAGGTGCAAGGAGCATTGGAAAATGCCAATTTTTAAGGAGGTGGGCAGGAAAGAAAAGAACTAGCAAAGACATTTGGAAGTGTGCTCCGTGTGACAGGAGCAGACCATAAGGGGTACGGATCAGCTGGCCTGCGCCTGAGCTCCTGTTCCCTCTACTGTCCCACCAGCAGCAGTGATTGCAGGGGAGGGATTGTGAGACAACGTGGAGGGCAGATGATGCCCC